TATGGTTTCACTCTTTCCCACCCTTTTTAAGTCTTTCTCACGGCCTGGGGCGGTAAGGCTTTCTACATCATCATTTGGGGACCGAATTGTGTCTCTAAGTTGCCTTGATGTGTAAGTGATCCGGAAGTTGGGTCGGGCCTTCAATACACAACCCTGAAACTTTAAATCCTGGAGGAAAAAACGGTGACCTGTAGCATTGAACGTTGATTTTCTTTTTGAGATGAAGTTGACGGTGTTTGACCGTTTACGGTTTTACGTCCGAGCGAATGTGGGACCCGCGTCCCTAGTCTAATTTTTCCCGATAAAGTAAAAAAAATATTGCAAATCAAGGGGAAAACCGATTAGTTTAAAACCGCGGGCTGGGATACTTATTTTTGGACAACTCTCAAATGAATTCCATTACAACCGACAAAGAATTGGATGGAAGTGCGTGGTGTTGTTGTTGTTGTTGTTGTTGTTGTTGTTGCTGCAACATTTGGGTGCATTTGCTCCGTTCCCCGGCATTCTCCGAGCAAAATTGCCGAAAAACCCATCAATTTGGGGTGAACATTTGTCATATTTTCCTCCAAAAATCTTCCAAAACAAACCATTGACATTTTGGATCAAGTTTTTGGAATTGTTTGTTGCCCATCCGTTTCCGGAGCGATGCTTTCGAAGCGTTGGCCACTGAGCGGGGGGAGTTCGGATTGCTCTTCGAAATTGTGAAATGATGATGATATGATTGACATCTCCCCATAGTTTTGGATCAAATAACTTTCAGTAACGACATTTAAATATGTGGAGGGCGGGCCAGACCGCGAGGCCCAGGAGGGAGTATAAAACACCAGTTAGTAGGTTTAATTGTAGGTACCGTATGTTTAAATGAATTGGATTCCGTATCTTTAAATGGCCGGGCGGGCCAAGGAAAACCTTCCCAGAGGTACTGTAAAATACCTGCTCGTGTATTTTGAAATCCGTATATTAAAAAATCCAACCTGTTTTTTTTTTGATAAACTATATCTGCCAGTTCAAGGGCATTTGTTTTGAAACCAACACATTCAGAGAGGAAAATCTTGATCCAAAATTGATGCGTTCAAGGGGGTATTTTTTTTCCTAACCCAGCAACATGGTCATGGCAGGGTGACAAGCATCAACTGATGAAGTCGAACCCTATTTGGCAGTGGCTGATCACTGGGTTCGGACAAGGTTTAAGTGGAAAATGGATCTCACCCCCTGGAAAGTGGAACGATCATATTTCGAATTTGGTTCCGCAGTTTCATATGTTTATTTCCGTACTGGTGAATCCTCAATTTGCCAAAGACCAGGCAGTGCCAACTATTGCGAAATATTCTTGTTGTATATATATAGTGTAAAATGTATTGATAAAATATAATGTACATGTGTATCTGCGTAGTTTTTAAGCATGATAACATTGGATCATTTTTTTGTTTATAGTCCGATAAAACAGCAGTGAAAAAAATCATTCATCATGTTCCACTTTCGGCTGGTTCCCAAGTGTCGGTCCAGTCATTAGGTTTATTGGGAACATCAGTCCAGTAGTAATTTTTTTGCATATTTGATCAAATGGAACGAAGTCCGAACTTACTACATGTTTCCCATATTTTCATCATTTTCATCATTTTGGATAGTTTGAAGATAGTTTCCCATGAATTTCCCATATTTTGGATGCTTCAAAATCATAATTTGGTCAAATCAGGTGCCGATGGCAGGCTGGGACGAGGCCTCACAGATCTGGGAGAAAAGGGACCCTAATCTAATTTATGTTGCGAATAAACGACCTCCATTCCATATATGAAAACGATTTCGAACAAATGATATTGCATTTTTTTTCAATTTGGGAGACCCCTTTTCACTACCAGTGGTTTTGCCATTCAAAATGACAATTTGGAGGTTGGGTTTCATGTTGGTGTAGTATCCTATTATATTCCCATACATGGTTTGTCTTATCCGATTAATTGATCCCTATTTATTGATCCCCTTACTCAGCCAATAGCAAAACCTTAATTTTTTTCCTCGGGTCCGCGCGCATGGGACACATGGCCAGGGTTCACAAAGGAGGTCAATATGGAGCCTCACAGATCGTCGTTTTTAGTATTTAACCAAACATTTTTATAAAGGGAAACTATATATATACATATATATATGTATATATATATTATAATACAGTTCATTTATAGCCGTGCACTTTCCATGATGATATTGGACAGTTCATTCGGGTGACTACGTTTGTATTCGCAGCATGCTTCAGTTGAGTAGAGTTCGCAGCAACCCGAAGGATTGGCAGTCCTTTAGCTTCGTCATTTCAGATTTCATGCGGGCTCTAGAGACTCATTCTGCGGCTTAGAAAAGACACACGTCGCGTCTCTATTTCTTTAGCCTGACCCGTGGCCTCGCTGGTAGTGGTACATGGCAACGGACAAGCCCAATTTCTCGGAACATCATCCATATATCGGAGGTTTTCCATTGCTAGTCATTGCCAGAGGGTATGCATTTTAAAGCAGAGTTATTTAATATTGTTTCATATTGGTTGATATTGATGAACATCTTACTGTAATGTTCTTGAAATCCCTACACGATCCAGATTCCCAGCATTGGGAAAATTTACTCTCAACCGCAGCTTTACATTTTTGAGGCATGCGGCCTGCAGTTCGAAAGGCTTTAGAGGGAGAGGTGGCCGAGGCGGTGCTGGCTTGTGCGAACTGGAAGCCTTGGGCCAGAAATCGTTTGGCGATTTACCGTTAACAAACGGGATTTTCGAGTTGGTATATCAAGTGGTGGCAGGAAAGTTCATAGAACTTGTGTAGAGTCTTGATATCCCAATCCTCAGGGGTCTTTCAATATTCCATCATATTCCATCTAGTGGCGTCTCGGATGGCCCTGATGGGGCTATGTTTCCGACATGGCTTGGACAGGTGGTGGTGTTCATGCGGGAGATCGGCCGCTTCGAACCGAACTCACCACGATGTGAGACCTCCGGGAAGGGACAAAGGGCCATAGCGAAATCCATTTTGTAATTGGCTGAAGTGGTTCTGACGTACTTTCCATATACTTTCCACATCTTTCCACTATTTTCAACAATGGAAATGAGATGATCTAGTAACGACAAAGAGATTTTTTCGGGGGGATCTCCATCTCTCAGGTGATTTTCCTTGGCAAAATGTGAGAGAACTTCTCTTGAATTCACTTGCTGATTTCGAAAACTTTAGCACAATCAATTCTAACTATTGTAATGCCTTCTTCCTATTACTAAACGTACCCCAAATACTAAAAACTAGAGTCCATTAAAAAGTGGGAAATTTGAAGTTGGCCAATTCGAGTTTCAATTGATCCCCAGAAAGCGATTTAAACATGAAGGTCGTATTTGAGGGTTTTACCTCCTGACGGTAAAAGCTAGTCAACAGGTATTTTTCATTGGGGTCCGCCTTTGAAAACACCTTTTTAAAGTTAATATTATTGATTTAATATTAGAGGAACCTTCGAAATCCAAGTTTTGGCAATATTTTGATTAGACTTTGAAAAGGACTCTAGTCGATATTGAAATAGGGGGAAGAAGCATCTCATCCTGATAAGGGACTAAATACACCCTAAGTGGGGTTAGTATTAGGGGGAATGGATGAATCCAAACTGCAAGTGGATGATATTTTCTGAACTAGTCCAAACTATCCCAGATTCTTTGTTCCAATTATCGTCCACTTTGTTTTTTTGTTTTTTTAATTAGCCTCCCTTATTTTAAATCTAATTAGTGCTGGGATGCTTTCAGAGGCTATCAACCTGGGACTATTAGGAAAGACCTCGCTCGCAGACCGAGGACCGACAACTGATGCTTTGATATGGTTTGCGTATTTTTAGACAGCACTATGATTTCATAGATTTATTTCAGCTTTCCATAGCTTTCCATAGAATTTGTTGCATCATTTTGAGAGATCAAAACATATCAACAAATTTCATGGAAGTTTCCAAAAATACCCGAGGGATGATGATGCCGTGGTTTTTGGCCACCTTTTGCCTCACCTGGAGATTGAGATAAAAAATTGGTGCTTTGGTGACAATTCACACTGAGAACATCATTTTCCCAATGAAAACAAGCATATATGATATTTGTGGGGGATATCCCGTGGCTCCTCATTGAGGCCTTCTCCTTTGGTTGTAATTAAAAAAAGGAGTGTGTTCGCCAATTGGTCAAGACGAGACCTATGCGACCATCATAACGGCTGGCCGATGTGAAAAGCAGTGTACCCTCCTGCCATCAAACATGGAAAAATTACAGAACATCCCCCATTTTCAATGACTTTCCCAGGTGCCAGGTTTAGTTCCGAGATGTCCCAACTGGCTATCTTTGCCACGTTTTTGGGAACCAAGCCATGTTTCAAAAAAGTCGGATCTGGGGTACCCTCCTGGTCGGATCTGGGGTACCGACCCGGCGCGTTTCGCGGATCCGCCGAGGCCTGTCACAATACAGCGATGTGTTGCTGAAACATGGCTTCGATGATCTCGAGATCCTGATGGACGTGCAGGAGAAACTGGCGAAAAGAGCCAATTTGTGAAACTGTGGTTTCGAAAAGAGAACTGCGACTGTTCCTGGGTTTCTTTACAGGATACTATGGTTACATTAATATATATATTATATATATACTATTATATATATATATATCTATGTATGTGTATATATATATTTATACATATACACATTAATATGTATTTTTTCGGGCATATTATACTTGAAACGGGGATAAACCTGGAAGTGTGGGCTTCCGAGCCGGGATTATATCATCCAGAAATGATGTAGAAACTGATCACCAAAATTCAGGTTCAAATACGGGAGATGAAGAATGTAGAGTCGTTTTGTCTTTTTTATGGGAATATGCAATTCCAAAACAAATGACGATGGTCCATGCAGGATTACATCATCTATAACTATGGATGACATTTCCACCACACATTTTCACCGTCCAGTAGCGTATCTGGACGATGAAGTTTTCCAGGATAGCCACCTGAAAGCTATGGGTTTTCTGCCTGGCCACATGCTGAAGATCAAGAAGCGCCACGAGCTTAGAATCTGCAACAACCCGTGGGGAGTTTTGCCAGCCATCAATCCATCCGCAACCAGTTCTTTGGGGGATGCCCCAATAGTCTTGTGTAGGAAGTGGGAAGTATTGGGAACTCTGTTAAAAAATGTATATATATATATGTAATTATATATATATATATCTGGTGGTTTGTTCCTTCCTATTTTGTGAGTGCCTCATATGAAGCCACAGGATTTTCTTTTTTGAAGCAACATTTTCCTGGGAAGTTGATTGCTTTTTCTGATTAAGGAACCAGCATTTTTGTCCACCTGTCCCACGGATTCTCCGATTGGCATGATATGCATGATTTCTGGTGATGCTTTCCTCGGATGTGCAAAGAAGTTGCAGGCCCAGGGCCGCAAGGTTTTCCTTGGCTTTTTGCAACAGCTTCACCCAGGTCTTAAAGAACACCTGGAAAAGAAATCCTCCCCTGCTCTTGCTGAACAGGGCTGGATGGACTGAAACGGTTGGGTTTGTTGGGTCAGAAATGATATGAACGCGCTCCATATTTTTTTGGGTGTGTCACTTTGAAAAAAGAACCAGTTTTGGTGCAAAAAAACATCTGCTAGTCTATGAGAAGGGGTACCACATTTTCAAGACGATCCCCACATGTTGCAATGGGGGACCCCACGGAGAAAGAAGATGTCTGTCGTGACGGGCATGATTACCTTGATAGTTTTGGAGATCTGTCGATATTTTTGGATCAACCAAGGAGGTTTTCCGTGTATCCCCCCGCTCTTGGATCAACCGCAGCCAACCAACCAAACCAATATCCAACAAATCTAAAAGTCTAAGAGTCTAAGAGTTGGTTGGGTTGGTTTGTTGATTGGTCCAAAACACATCAACAAATGTCAAAGACGGCAAATTCCTTAGGCTGCCCCAGCTGTCTCCGCGCCAAGCATAGGATCCTGGTACTGCCCGAGTGGTTTACACACCATCTACGACCAGCCTTGCAGATCCTTGGGCGAAAAAACCACCAATAACCATGAAGAAGGGCTTAGTGATGTGTTATTGGGGAGGGTTAAAAGGAGCTTTGAATCACCATGACCTGGAAACATGGCCACGCGCTCCAGATGGGTGTACGGTCCGGGCTGGCTCCACCCCAACTTGGCCATTTTCACCGTGGTGACAATCCGTTCCAATGCAGAGATACCCCCCCAAAAGGTACCAATTCATGCTGCTACCAATTCCAATGGTACCAGGGCCATCCAGGACATTCCAGGACTTGAAAACTCGACATCGCATCAGGTCCCGAGTGGAGCTCAGGGCTTTGCTGCACCCCCAAGTGAGATCATTGAGGTGGATGAGGGTTGATCACCCGCTGCTGTTGGTTCCTTTGAGTTGGGAGCAGCGATTGATTTTCCGAGAGAGGAATCGCTTTTTGATCACGAAGGCAATGGGTACACTAGGGTTGGACCGCAGATTTTTCGTCATTTCACATATTTTCAAATAATTATCATACCTAGTGTGATGAATATGGCTATATGTGATATATATATATGTTCAATATATATATATAACATCTATATCACATATAGCCATATTCATCACACTAGGCAGCGATTTGACCCATTTTTTCGATGCCACCAAGACCATCGTGATAATCACGGGGAACTTAATGATCAACCAGATTTTTTGGGCCCAATTTTTAGACAAAGCGAGACCAGGTTGGTATCATGTCAAATGACAGAAATTTGTGGATAGTTTACCATCCCGATTCTTGGATGGTCAACATGTTTGATATGGTTAGATTCCATGTTTGATGGCGAAACCATCATTTTCAAGAGTTAAGTCCCCATGTCTTGGGGAGACATCGATCGACGCCTCGCTGTGTGCAGGTAGTGAGCCAAAGCTGGCCAAAGGTGGAGGGTAAAGTGCTGGAGATCGCAGAATCATTGTACAAAAACCTGCTGCCTGGTGGATATTTTCAGATGGCTCTCTTGTCAAAACATGGGGGAATTTTACCATTTTTATCATGGGGATTTTCTGAAGAGGTTCGACTAACAGTTCTTAACCAGAGATATCAGAGAATTTTTGGGATTGAAGATGAAGTTTGCTGAAACTTGGATTTGTTAGTGAATCTATTGGATTTTTTTCGACTGCGAGCACTTGGAATACCTAAATTTTTGGTGAACATTTGGCTGGAAAATGCAGTGATGGATGGAAGAAATCCTGCGCCAACTTGGTACCTATAACTATGAACCACAATAATGGGATTTTTTGTCAGGGATAAACCATCTACCGGTGCAGGATTTCTTCCACAGATCACGTTCCTAAGATTGTGTGAGGCGATAAAAAACCCATGGGTTTCCTGATGATGGACGAGATCCTGGTGATTGGCAACGGAATCGTCACACTAAATTGAATGTGAAATTCATCTTAAGATGGGAATATAGAATATGTACATCATATGTATAAGTATACATAATATATATATAATTAATTATATATATATACATATACATAGTAGAGGAGTAGTAGATGGTTTATTTTGTCAAGTTGTCATGTTAGATGACCAAAAGGTATAGATACACTGCTGTTGTGCCATGGCCATGTCAACAAAAAGGGCTGTTATCCCACCTTCTGGGGTCTAATCACCATGGTGCCATGAAAGCAACCCGAAGCTGCACCTCCAAAGGGGTGATGAAATGCCACAGTCTTCCAAGGACCCTTTTTCAAAGTCAAGGAGAGGGGTCTGGACGCGGAAAATCCCATCATTTCTGGATGATTTTTCCAGCCATCAATGGCCATGTTGAGGATTTCTTAGCCATGTTTGATGACACAGAAGGATATCCCAAAGCTCCCAAGCAGATCCCCCAAGGTTTTCCCTGGCGCCGGACGCCCGGAAGCTCTTTCCGTTGTCGGTGAGAAATCGCTACCGCGACTGGGCCAGTGGACTGGATGAGGCCGGGTCTCGGTGGTGGGGTGGTGGGGTTTTGGTATGTTTTGGTCATAGATTTACCCTCCGGCAATGGGATAATTGGGGTGTCAAATCAATGATAAGTGGGATATAATGGGGATATGAATGGGGATATAATAGATATGCCGCATATGCCTTCAGGCAATCAGATATGGCAATGTAAAATCCCCCATCAAAATGGAGGATTTTCATAGCTGGGATTTCTTCATGGAACTAAAGGGGGGATTTTCCAGCTTACAGGAGGGTAATGGGAATATCATAGGCAGATAGTCCTGAGACCCTGAGATGTTCTGGATAAGTTTCACAAGCACCTCATTGCGCTTTCACCGGTTTGATAAACCATCGATGTCCTTTTCCCACTGCTTGGTTGACGAAAAAGATGGTTCTCCCCATTCAGCAACCTTTACTCGTGGATGAGAATAAAGAATATACTGAATAGGCCCCTCTGTTTTTTCCTACACAATGGTGTTTGTGATACACCATTGATAAAATGAGTGGTTGATGTGGTTGATGGGTGGTCGTCATGGTCAGAAAAATCCGGGATGTGTTAAAGAACCCCTCTGGGCTGTTGATCATCAATGACTTCAGAGTAAGCTATTGATATGTTCACAAAATCGGGACCCGGAAAAAAAGACCCATTTGAGGTCAGTGCCCATATTTTGGTGCCAAGATTTTGTGGGTCAGACTACCATTTCTGATAGTATACATTTTAGGGTAGCAGGAATCGAGACTATGACACTCAAGTCTGAAGTCAAGTCTGAACTCAAGTCTGAACTCATGTCTCAAGAAACTCAATATAAAAAACCTATCAAATTCAACATATGAAAATAAGCAAATTATACTGTAATTTACAGTATAAATCAAGGAAAGGTAGGTACCGGGGGGGGGGGTACCATATATATATATATATAAAGTCCTAATATGGCAGGATGAAATTCTCAATTTTTGGTCGGTCAAATGTCTTAAATCTTCTTGCTAAAGCCAGATTTTCTGACCCAAATTATCACCATTTTTGGGTCAGTCACCAGCATTTTTTGTGCTCCAGGTGGAGGACGATTTTGAGGCATCCTCCGCGCTCCCAATGATTTGGTCTAAGGCGGAGAATCCGGTGAGTTTCGGAAAGGGCTGTTTGAAAAAAGATGTGTTTTTTTGCAGAGAATGCAGAGTTGTCTCAAAATCCATCAAAATCCATCAAAATCTCAACCACATCAAAATTTAGAACCCCTCATTTTTTCCATGAAATTATCTCTTTCTGACATCATTTTCCCGGAAAAAGAGCACACATTTCTTCCTACCTCAACTCGTGAGCCCCTTCGCGGCGCGAAGGCCCTTGAACTTTGGAGAAGTTTCATAGGGCAACAACTTCAACTGGCGAATTTTTCGACGTCCCCAGTTGTTCAAAACAACCATGAAAATAACTCTTCACCATTCACCATTAATTGAAATCAACCATGACATTGGATGTGATCAGAAATTTTGAAATATGAACACTCTTGATAGCCATATCAATATCCGTTCTGGCCCCGTACAATGTTGGATGTTCTGGCCCAGTTTGGCGTTTCGTGCGCTGTGTGAAGGTCATCCATGCTGTGTTCAGTTCGATTTCCGGGCTTCGAAATCCAAGCGTCTTGCCTTGGTGATGGAGAAATCTGGCAATGGAACGTATGAAATGACATGAAGATACATAAAGTGATCATAAAGTGATCATAAAGTGATCATAAAGTAATCATAAAGTGATCATAAAGTGATCATAAAGTGATCATAAAGTGATCATACATAGAGGATCTTATTCTATTGTTAGCTTCGAGCACTGAGAGTAGTTTGCTATGCCTCAAATGAAGCAGTCAATGGGTGTTGATCAGAAGATTCAGCTCGAAACTCTGATTTTTTCATTTTTTTTTGCCAAACAACTTTTGACGCACCAATGGTGACAGAAGCGAGGCAAATTGGTATTGGACCTCAATGCGCTCGGGATGAGACACGCTGGCTACAATGTGAAAGAGGACTCGCAGCCAGAAGCCACAGTGCCGGTTGTAGATTCTCTGTGGTCAGAAGTTGGAGCAAAATTACCCTCTGGTTATTTAACATAGCCATGGAAAATGGCCCATTTATAGATGATTTTCCCATTGAAACCTCCATTTATAAGGGATTTTCCATAGTTATGTTAGTTTACCAGAGGGTATGCACGGCCCAAACTTTTTCGCGTCGCAGGAATTCTTTGCTTTTGTGGGACAAGCTCTCATTATGGCATTGAGAACTCACGTGGAAGGTCTCTTGGCATCGAGCCACCGCTTGCCCATCGTAGCGTAGAGATGTCCGAGCTGAGTAGGCGAACCGTCACTGGCCATGGTTGAAGACTGAGACTTAAATTCAAATCTGGTTGGCACTTCAGATTGTTTTTTCCTTGTTTGGAATGACTGAAAGAACTTGGATTTCTGGGGGCTCAACCACCGATCACCTGATGTTGTTCTTGAAACCAATCTGAGGTTTAACCTGTGATGTGGAGCACGCGTGGCTGACAATCTATGTGTCCCGACAGAAAAGTCATCTTTTCCGGTGGAACTTGGGGTGGCTTAATCTACAAGTGGAAATCTCCGCACTTGGTGATGTTCTGTAACTGCAAAGTCCAAAAGAGTATATTTAACTTAAGAAACAAACACCATATCAGTGTATTCGGGATGATTGGAATATTTTTTCATGTTGCACTTTGGAATTTTGATGAATTTTGGCACAAAACCACCAAAGAGTGGTAGCAATTTCTGTTGCGAAAGCTGTGGCAGCTATGATGGCATCCATGATTTCCATCACCGAAATGGGTCTGTATGGCCATGAAATCATATGAACATATTAAATAATATTACATCTCCAGTCCATAGTTTTCAGGTACCAAAGCCGAGTAGATGAATCGCAGGATTTTGGAACTCTTGGAACCAGTGATAAGAGCTGTGAAATCCTACTTGTTTATGCGAAGAAGTCCTGGATTCGGGAGGTTCCCCAAAAAGTGAGTTCATTGGCTTCTAAAATGTTACAGTACCCCAATGATCAACAGCCTCAGAGGTTTCTCAATCGGGGGTTGACATGTGCCGCGAAACTTGGATTACATCCCCATATTGCCTGGGGTCATACTACCATTCATAGGGATTTATATACTCATTCCTTTGGGGAATCCACATTAATTCCATGTAACTTGAACATGGCACATGAACAATGAGCCGTGTTCAAAGCCCTGCTGGTTGATGTTTGGTTTGGGGATTATGATTATGACATATTCTGACTATCGACATCGACGGGGAATCGCTCCAAGGAGTTCATTGCGGAGGCGACCAGAGCTGGTTTCCGATCGGTGCAGACGCAGCTGAAGACCCAGGTGAGACAGGATACCCTGAGGCGATGGGAAGACCTGGGAGACCTTGGACCCTTAAAAAGGGCGGATGTTTTTGGCCAACTTTTGGGGGATATGAAGGACATGAAACGAGGTGGATTTGGACATGAAAATGGCAGTGACTCGTTGGATTTGGGGATTTTGGGACAGTGGACTAGGGATCTCAAGATCGGGAAGATGAACCAATGAGAGGCGCCAGCAACCGAAACCCAGTTTTGAGGCTGTTGAAACTATGTCGCTTTCGAAATCAAGCAGAAGAGAACTCCTCAGAAAAGAAATTGTTGTCTTCCGTTCTTTCTATTGCAACAATCGATGGGGAAACTGGACAAGACAATGCTCGGCATATTGATCCAGAAACGATGGTTGTTGGAGGTTGCACTTGCATTTCGAGATTTATTGAGCAGAAGAAAGATTTTTTGAAGGGATTCCGGCCACTACTTACCTGCTTGGAACAATTCAAGGCCATCTTTAAAGTTCGTTTTTTTCTTCGAAGGGATGGGGCGGTTTTTCGGCTATAATATATTCATTTGATTTGTAATCAAACTATCCAATTTCCGGAGTTGATATCTATATTTGTATCATGTACCTCAAAGGCCTCAAAGAAGGAGTACCTTAGATATTTTTCTATCCGTGTATCTCCTTAATATCTAGACAAGGTGGGCCCAGGTTGTAAGTTGGATTATAAAACTCGCTGACTATGGATATACCTTTCGAAAAACCAGTGAACCTACTAAAAATCAACTGACCCTCTGGTTATTTAAAGCTATGGAAAATAGCAAAGTTATAGAATTTACCAATAGAAAATGGTGATTTTCCATAGCTACGTTAAATATCCAAAGGGTAGCTAAGTAGGAGGCCCCAGTTGTTGTATCTATATTTTATATCCGAAAAACAGGACACTCCCAAATCCAGTGGTTTGTCCTCATTTGCAGACAGGCCTCCACAAGGGTACTTAGAATGGAAAATCCGAAAATCAGATGGATGATTTGGGGGTAACCCCTATTTTAGGAAACCACCATGTGTATCATCTAAAAAACTGGGCCATTTGCTATTGCTATGTTAAATAACCATATGGTAAACCATATTCATCTCATTATTCACCACTATTAAAGGATATTGATTTGTTATTAACACATATTATCCATGACGTATCCCAGTAAAGCCATCTAGGATAGCTATATATTTCTATGTCTACCTTAGATAATCTGCCACGTCAGGCCCGCGCCGACCCTATTGAGATCCAGGAGGTCGCAAGCAGGTGCTTTTGTCCATTTTTGATGGGAGATTTTAAACCATTGATAGACGGAAAACCGATGAATTAAATGTTTAATATTATTGGTCAAGTTGTAATCATTTAAACCATTGTCAATGGTTATCTAACATTTATCAGATTGTGGGCGCAGGAGGTGAGCAATTTGATTTTCGACATGTCAGCAAGTGGCTGCAAGTGGCTGCAAGTGGCTGCTTTGGCAAGTGGCTCAAGAACCAGAACAAGAGCAAACATCACAACCACAAGAACAATATCAAAATCAATAACCACAACATCAACAACATCAACAACATCAACAACAGCAACAACAGTAACAACAGTAACAACAATAACAACAGTAACAACAGTAACAACAGTAACAACAGTAAAAGCAGTAACAACAGTAACAACAGTAACAACAGTAACAACAGTAACAACAGTAAAAACAGTAACAACAGTAACAACAACAACACCAACACCAACACCACCACCACCACCAACAACAACAACAACAGCAACAACAACAACAGCAACAACAACAACAGTAACCAGAACAACAACAACAACAACAACAACAACAACAGCCACCAGAACAACAAGAACAAGAACGAGATAGCAAAAAACAAGGGCAATAACAGCAACAACAACAGTAGTAACAAGAACAAGAACGAAAAGGAGAACAAGAGAAAAACATAGCAAGTTCTTGGAAAATCTGGATGCTACCCAAGAAGATCTTGTCCTGAACTTTCAATCATCTTGTATGATATTGGTTGCTATGGAGTAAGACTTTGTCCTCAACATTCAATGATCTTGAGTGCTACGGTGTAAGATCATGCTCTTGACGTTCAATCATCTCGGACTCTACGCTCGAAGCGCTTGTCCTTAACTTTGAACATCTTGGATGATATGCTCTAAGACTTTGTCCTTGAATTACAAACATCTTGGCTGCCACGCTGTAAGACCTTGCCCTTAATCTTCAAACACCTTTGATGCTACGGTGTAAGATCGTGCCCTGAACTTTCAATCCTCTTGAATGCTACCCTGTAAGACTTGTCGTCAACATGTTTGCTGTAAGGGAGTGTTGGATGGCACGCTGTAAGCTGTTGTCCTTAACCTTCAAACATCTTGGATGCAAGCATGTAAGATCTTGTTCTTAAATTGCAAATATCATTGGTGCTTCGGCGTAAGATCTTGTGCTTTCAAACATCTTGGGCGCTACAGAGTCAGATCTTGTCCTCAACTTTCGATCATCCTTGATGCTTCGCTGTCAGATTGCAGCCTGGTCTTGCAATCATCTGGGATGCTACCGTGTAAGATTTTGTCCTTAAATTGCAAATCTTTGTTGCTACGAAGAAAGATCGTGTCCTTAACCTTTAAACATGTCGGAGGCTACGCTCTAAGATTGTGTTTGTCTTGTCCCTAACCCTCAAGCATGTTGGATGATACGCTGTAAGTTCTTGTCCTTAACGAACAAGAACAAGAACCAGAACAAGAGCAAAAACCACAACCACAAGATCAAGAACCAAAACATCAACATCAACAACAACAGCAGCAGCAACAACAACAATAACAACAATAACAACAAAAACAACAATAACAACAATAACAACAAAAACAACAATAACAACAATAACAACAAACAACAACAACAGCAACAACAATAACAACAATAACAACAAGAACAACAATAACAACAATAACAACAAGGACAAGAACAAGCTCAACAAATTCAACAAGTTCAACAAGTTCAACAAGTTCAACAAGTTCAAAAAGTTCAACACGTTCAACACGTTCAACACGTTCAACACGTTCAACACGTTCAACACGTTCAACAAGTTCAACAAGTTCAACAAGTTCAACAAGTTCAACAAGTTCAACAAGTTCAACAAGTTCAACAAGTTCAACAAGTTCAACAACAGCACCAGCACCAGCACCAGCACCAGCACCAGCACCAGCACCAGCACCAGCAACACCAACACGAACACAAACACAAACACCAACACCAACACCAACAACAACAACAACAACCACAACAACAACAACAACAGCAACAGCAACAACAGCAACAGCAACAGCAACAGCAACAGCAACAGCAACAGCAACAGCAACAGCAACAGCAACAGCAACAGCAACAGCAACAGCAACAGCAACAGCAACAGCAACAACAACAACAACACACCAACACCAACACCAACACAACACCACAACACACAACAGCACAAACACAACAGCAACAGCAACAGCAACAAAACAACAACAACAACAACACAACAACAAAACAACAACAAAACAACAACAAAACAACAACAAAAACAAAATAAATAAACAACAAGAGCAAGAACAACAATAACAACATTAACAGCAAGAACAAGAACGAAAACGAGAACAAAAGAAATAATAGGAAGTTCTTGGAAGATCTGGATGCTGCCCAAGAAGATCTTGTCCTGAACTCTCAAGCATCTTGCATGATTTTGGTTGCTATGGAGTAAGACTTTGTCCTCAACATTCAATCATCTTGGGTGCTACGGTGTAAGATCGTGCTCTTGACATTCAATCATCTTGGACGCTACGCTCGAAGAGCTTGTCTTTAACTTTGAACATCTTGGATTCCTATGCCCTAAGACCTTGTCCTTGAATTACAAACATCCTCAATCTTGGATGCCACGCTGTAAGACCTTGCCCTTAATCTTCACACACCTTTGATGCTACGGTGTCAGGTCTTGTCCTTAAGTTCCAAATATGTTTGATGCTACTCTGTAAGATCCTCTCCTTAACTTTCCAGCATCTTGGATGTTACGGTGTAAGATTTTGTGCTTAACTTTCAAACATGTTTGATGCTATGCTGAAAGGCCTTGTCCTTAGCTTTCAATCATCTTGGATTGTACGGTGTAAGATCTTGTCCTTAACTTTCAACCATCTTGGATGACACGCTGTAAGACCTGTCCTTAACTTTCAATCATCTTGGGTGCTACGCTGTCAGGTCTTGTCCCCAACCTTCAAACATGTTGGATGATACACTGCAAGTTCTCGTCCTTGCCGGACAAAAACAAGAACCACAACAGCAAAAACAAAATTAAGATTCTGGTAAAGATGTTTTTTTCCTTCAACCAATCTAGTGATGGTCGACTTCAAAACTCCGCTGGGCCTGGTTTATAAAATTCGATATAGGTATGACGATGGAATTCGAGCCTCCACCAGTTAAAATACAGAAAGGGGTGTTGTGAGCGCTAAAAAAACGAAAATTTGGGGATATGTAGCCTTGATACTATGGATGGTTTCATGTTTTTTTGCGCTCAAAACAGCCTGTGTGAGTAGGACGAATCATTTGATATACTAAGCAATCAATGTCTGCTGTCTGCTGTCTAACCCGAACTACAAAAATCCTCCAACCCGAACTGCGCGATCGTCTAACCCGAACTGCAAGATTGTCGTCTTCGCAGTGCTTAGTCCTGATTAAATGCTCAATAACTAAAGTTATAAGTTATAACACGCTCAGAGATGTTATGATCCGCGAAACGGCGACTTACAAACCACGCTTGTTACTCACCTACTAAGGTAAACCATCATTAAACAACCCACACAAAAGTGGGCGCTGGCCCTCAAATACAAACAATCTGGCCCTTTGTTTTTTTCTCCGAAACAGCTTTTATACCTATGTTTCAATCGGTGCGGGTGGCTGCTGGTGCATGGCTGCTAGCAATCTACGACAGACTATCTTGAAAAACAAGTAAAGTCTACAAAATCACTTTTTTGTCAAGATGGCACGTGACGGCAAGTGGCTACGAGTCGCTGCAGATGGCTGCAATCAGTTGCAGCCACTTGGCAGCCACTTGCCCAAGCAGCCACTTGCAGCGATTTGGCAGCCACTTGCTCAGGCAGCCACTTGGCAGCCATTTGGCAGCCATTTGCTCAGGCAGCCACTTGGCAGAAACTTGCAGCCACTCGCAGACACTTGCCCCAAGTGGTTGCAGCAAATGGCTGCCAAGTGGCTGCCAAGTGGCTGCCTGAGCAAGTGGCTGCCAAGTGGCTGCCAAGTAGCTGCCTGAGCAAGTGGCTGCCAAGTGGCTGCAAGTGGCTGACATTTCGAAAATCAAAATGCTGACGTTTGCTCGCTCTCTGATTTATCAGTTTTAAGCCATGGATTTGCGGAATTAAACATGATATGGCAATCCCCATTTTTGATGAATGGATAGTGCAGCAAAAACTGGAATATCAATCAAATTTGGGAATATGATCCGTCAATTTGCTTGAGATTCCCATTGATGCTTTTAGACAATTTGGTTGCAGTATCCGCAAATTTGGTTCCAGTTTCCCGATGATTTTTATCACATCTGTCCCTCCTATTTTTTTGAATTATCAACCCTCAGTCACAGTCAAAATGCAAAAAAAACATCATTTGCTTCCAACCTACGATTGGAAATGAGGGGTGGAAGTTGGTTGCTCTTTCCGTCCAGTTTCCCCAAAACTTGTTTGACCGGTGTCAGGATGCATGTATGATCATATATGGGTAGTTGAAAGGGTCTCTAGTCAGGCCAAAATTTACGACCTCCAGGTGTTACCAAGGTCTGCCATCCTCTGGTAAACGTTCACATAGCTATTGAAAATGGCCCAGTCGAAATAGTTGATGACTACCCATTAAACATGGTGATTTTCCATGGTTTTTGTATGTTTACCAGGTAAATTCCCTGCCATCAGCCTGTGGCGGATCTCCAGGCTTGGCAGAGAGCGACCTCAGTGCCCGGAAGATGGCATTCGACCGACTCGACCGACATCGGGTTCCCTCCAAGAACGAGGGAGCGCAGGGAGCGCCCAAGGTCTCTCCGAAAGCCGTGGTTCCTGGGTTCCCATGGGGGAGCGTCTAGGTTGTTGGCAAAGCTGAAAATGATGGGGTGACCAACATGAAGAATAGGGGTTTGACATGAGATAACCTATAATATGTATATATATATGTATGGTCCCGTGTCCCCGTGTCCCCGTGTTCCCACCCCCCATGGGATGGGTCCCCAGGTAGCACCCCCTTCCCTTGTATTTGCAAGCTATTGGCAGCATTTCTGAGGTCCAGCCTCTAGGTCTTTGCAGCATTTCTGACTACCACACATACTCCATCAAAGTACCTACGTGCTACCTATAGTCATATATATATATATACATGTGCTATGCATCTACTTCCTATTTACTACATATATATATATATTATATGGTCCAGCGTTCCAACCCCCCACCCCGACAGTACCACACCCCCGCCACACCACAGGGGGGAGGGGGACAGTACCACACCCCCACCACACCACAGGGGGGGAGGGGGACTGTTATATACATACAGACATACAGACATACAGACATACAGACATAGACACATAGACACATAGACACATAGACACATAGACACATAGACACATAGACACATAGACACATAGACACATAAACACATAAACACATAGACACATACATACATACATACATACAGACAGACAGACAGACAGACAGACAGACAGACAGACATACATACATACACACACATACACACATACACACATACACACATACACACATACACACATACACACATACACACATACACACATACACACATACATACATACATACATACATACATACATACATACATACATACATCTGGACAATTTAAAACGACGTCACCGACGTCACCGACGTCACCCCGAAATAACGATCTAGCCTCAGAAATAACTCATCACCATACAAGTACATATAGATATATATATACTTATATACTTATAAAGATATATATATATGTATTTATGAATGTATATTATAGAGATTTAGAGATATACTCCGCCCGTCAGCCCAAAGGGGTGCGCGCACCAGCAGACTGTACATTGTGGAGCCTGGTCCTGCTGGAGGAGGCCAGGATTGTGGCTGGTCAGCGCGTTCAGAAGCAAGTTCTCTATTTTTCCAGCTTTAGTATGGGCAGCTACGGCTGGAAAAATCGGTTTCAGGCGGCAAAGCCTGGACAAACAGAAAGATCCTAGTTTGTCAAAATATGAAAATGAGGTTTTCAGCGCGTTCAGAAGCAAGGTCCCTATTTTTCCAGCTTTAGTATGGGCAGCTACGGCTGGAAAAATCGGTTTTAGGCGGCAAAGCCTGGACAAACAAAAAGATCCTAGTTTGTCAAAATAGGAAACTGAGGTTTTCAGCGCGTTCAGAAGCAAGGTCCCTTTTTTTTCAGCTTTAGTATGGGCAGCTACGGCTGGAAAAATCGGTTTTAGGCGGCAAAGCCTGGACAAACAGAAAGATCCTGGTTTGTCAAAATAGGAAACTGAGGTTTTCAGCGCGTTCAGAAGCAAGGTCCCTATTTTTCCAGCTTTAGTATGGGCAGCTATGGCTGGAAAAATCGGTTTCAGGGGGCAAAACCTGGACAAACAGAAAGATCCGAGTTTGTCAAAATAGGAAACTGAGGTTTTCAGCGGGCTCAGAAGCAAGGCCCCTATTTTTCCAGCTTTAGTATGCGCAGCTACGGCTGGAAAAATAGGTTTTAGGCGGCAAAGCCTGGACAAACAAAAAGATCCTAGTTTGTCAAAATAGGAAAATGAGGTTTTCAGCGCGTTCAGAAGCAAGGTCCCTATTTTTCCAGCTTTAGTATGGGCAGCTACGGCTGGAAAAATCGGTTTTAGGCGGCAAAGCCTGGACAAACAAAAAGATCCTAGTTTGTCAAAATAGGAAACTGAGGTTTTCAGCGCATTCAGAAGCAAGGTCATTATTTTTCCAGCTCTAGTATGGGCAGCTACGGCTGGAAAAATCGGTTTTAGGCGGCAAAGCCTGGACAAACAGAAAGATCCTAGTTTGTCAAAATAGGAAACTGAGGTTTTCAGCGCGTTCAGAAGCAAGGCCTCTATTTTTCCAGCTTCAGTATGGGCAGCTACGGCTGGAAAAATCGGTTTTAGGCGGCAAAGCCCGGACAAATAAAAAGATCCTAGTTTGCCAAAATCAGGAACTGAGGTTTTCAGCGCGTTCAGAAGCAAGTTCCTTATTTTTCCAGCTCTAGTATGGGCAGCTGCGGCTGGAAAAATAGCACCTGTGCAGGTCACCGTGTTTACAAGCATGTTCCTTTACTTTTTTTTCAGACTCACCGCCCATCGCTGCCCTCCAAACACAACACGGTGTCCGTTTCATTTTGCGGCACTTAAGGTGCCTGAGCCGGCTTGCAGCTCTTCGTGGGAGGCAGGAAACATGATGGGGTGTGACGCGCCATACCTGGTCTCAAGCGCTCTTCTGATTTTGTGCTTGCTTCATTTTGGGACTGTTGTAAGTTCGTCGGAACAGGCTGGAAAAATTCTAACAAGTGTGTCGCACCACATTGCCATATTGCTGACTCAAGCCCACATTTTGTGGCACGCCCTTTTGTTAAAACGCAGTCATGGCGAGATAAAGGTCATCTTTCAATAGTCCAGAGCCAAAATTGCCGACGAGCCTTCCCATAACTCCATCTAGCTCCACAAAAAGACGCAAACGACGCAAACGTGATCAAGACGATGCAGGTTCAAACACAGAAGGCCCTTTGCTTGTTAGTGATCCCACTGCTCCTTCCGGTGCGCTTGCCAGTGAGTCCAGAGCTTCTCCTTCGCCTGTGCCTGCCAGAGAGCTTACAGGTTCATCTCCTTCATGGTGCGCTGTTCACATTGTGTCTAGGACACATCCGCTGTACCGTGCTGCAGTTGATCGATCGCTGACATTTGATTCTGTTTTGGCAGAGTACAAGAAGTGTTACCTTGCAGACAGGGACGAAGCGGCTCTTTTTTCCTGTGGCGTGGAGATCTTTCCCACATCGGTCATCGGGGAATGTCCCCGGGTCACTGAGCGCATGGTGCTGGTGCAAGCACTTCTTCCTCAGGAAGCTATGTGTGTCCGTGCAGCGGAGCGGATTGCCCAAGAACCTTCGTTTTGGGACACTGCTGCTACGGAAGGCGTGCTGAGCAAGGAAGCTTTTGTTGAGGCGGTGGGTGCTTTGCAGATCCACGACTGCGACTCAGTATCAGTTTGGAGCCTCAGCATGGGCGAAGCACCGTCTGCTGACCGACAGAAATTTGATGAGCATTTTTCCACGTATGAGTGCATTACGGAGACGAAACTCTTTGCGACCAGAGAGGCGGATTCCCCGATTCTTTGCAACATCATCGTTGGTGTTGCCGTTACTTTGCTTGGACCACCAGAGACTATTGGCCACAGACTGCTTGGTCACGTGGCAACATGTGAACACACAGGGTTTGTGACCTTGGCTCTTTCGGGCACTTTGTTGTTTCAGCGCAGCTTCGCGTTCCTCGAGCCTCTTCCTGCAGACCTTTCCGTTCAAGCCACTGAGGAGGAAGTACGTGGCGAGGACAAGATAATTGATGATGCTGTTGGCGTGACTGAAAGAGACGAAGAGATGGAAGATGCACCGTCTTCCACAAACAAACCGAAGGCAAGGAAAGCTTCTGGTTGCCCCAGGCTTGCCCAAGCGCGAATTCAGCGTGTTCAGAAGGACATTGAGAGGCTCCAGGGGACGACAGACCTGTGGATCCCCAGGTCAAGTTTCGTTCGTGCTGTGAAAGAATCTCTTGACAGTGTGCAGCAGGTGAAGGTTGCTAAAGGTGAGGAGGCCACGGCATACAGGATCAGCACAGAAGCTTTGAAGGTGCTTCAAGAGTGTGCTGAACACCATGTGACTTCAGAATTTAGCAAGCTCAGGCTTTTGGCTTCGCACCGCAAAGCGGTGACAATCGATGTGCGTGATCACAAGATGCTCAACCTCTTGCGGGGGTGAGTGGTGAAAAGAGCACGAAAAGAGGACGTCATTTGCACTGACAGTTATTAACCTCTTGTTTTCATTTGTTTCCTCCTGATCCTAGCTTCTCTTCTGCTTGGGCAGGTGGAGTCCCGCTTGGCTTCACTCACTGCTCTTGAAGGTGCGCGTTTTCCGGCATGTGGAGGCGGTTTAATCTGCAGGGAGTATAGAAACTAACAGCCACATAGTCATGAAGCAATTAATTAAAGTGTCTTTTTAGACTGAACACAACCGAGTCTGAAATTGTAAGTATGTTGTTTCTTGTCATGGCCTGGGCATTCGGTATTTGTAGCATTCTGGGGCAGCCGTGGACATGTAATCTGTTTGAACTTCCATCTCTGGTTCCAAGTGCCTTGTGCGAAGGAAAACAACATGCGTTTCACAGTTTCACTCAATGCATTCCGGTTGACCAACATCATGTGAGAAAGCACGCAACATGGTTGAGCAATCCGCAGAAGAGGCGGCGTATGCAACACACAGGGTCAGCTATAACTGGCTGGAATTGGTTAAGAAGGATGAGGAAACACGCCTTGGTTGCAAAATCTGTAGGGAGTTTCATCCTGGCAAGAGTGGCTTCTCTGCAGGGGATTACAAAGTCGGGAAATATTTTATGCCCGCACGTTGTCACAGCACCAGGTGTCAACGCACCACAAGGAAAGCGTAGCCAGAGCCAAGAAGGCGGAGGCGCCAGGCACTCCACCAGCACGGTCACCAGCAGGATCACCCAGACGGGGGTTGTCCCCCAGGACCCCAGGATCTCCAAGTTGTCCGCGCAGCAGTGCGCGAAGTAGTACTGCTTCATCTCCGGGTGAAGATCTGGATCGTCCAACAGACACAGCTCGGAGGTTTGAGAACTTGCTGGCTGGGGCGTATGCCACCATCTACCATGAGAAGTCGAGCGCAGATTTCCGTCTTTTGACGGACTATGCCACATTATGTGGCGGTAGCCTTCCTGTTGGTCACACTTCTGAGCAGATTTTTACAGAGTGCCGTGATATCATTTGTAAAGAACTCCTGGCACATTTTGTTTCCCAAGTCAGGCAATCTCCATATTTTGCAGTGGCCATTGACGAGAAAGACAGGTTTTTGATCATTGTACTTTCATATTTTCTGAAAGGCCAGAGGGTCACGATCCCTGCGGCATACCGAGATTTGCAAGGGTTTGAAGCCCGAGACTTGTTTTCCCTGCTTACATCAGTGCTGGAGTCTTGGGGCCTCGACAAGCAATATCTTGTAGGGCTCACAGCCGACGGAGCTTCCGTCATGGGAACCAGAGTTGCTTTAGGAAACCGAGGTCAAAATGTTGCCAAGCTCTTGTGTGAATGGGCAGGGCACCCTTTGTTGATTACTCATTGCGCCCCTCACCGACTCCAGCTGTGTGTTGTAGCTTCATGGACCGACCCATATTTGAAAGATCTGGAAAAGAGAATTAAAGCATTGATTAAAAATGTTTCGGAGCACCCAGGCGCAACAATCGATTTAGTTTTTTGGTCTGACCTTGTTGAAGAAGATGTCCTTCCTTCACTTTCCTCTTCGACTGCACGTTGGCTTTCCTTTTATCAGCCAGTGAAGAAGTTGTTGAAGTGCTACTTGGGCGTGTTGTGTCACCTCATGTACTGCTTCAATTTCCACAGCTCACACGAGCAGAAGAAAACAATCACATGGCTCTTTCAGGGCCTGGCTACATGGGAGGCTCACCTGACCCTGGCAGGCATCGCGGATATTTTGGAGATTTGTATGTCTTACAAGAATCAGCTTGAGCGTGCATCTTCATTCACCGGAGTCCATGGCATCCAGGAAGCTCTGAGAGCAGAACTCGATGCCTTCTGCCGAATCAATTCAGTTTCAGCTAGGGCCATGGCCGGTGACGATGTCTTGCCAGGAGGTGGCAAAGAGGTCGAGCGCATGTGTGAACGGTACCGCCGCGAAGGCCACCAAAAGCTTCACCTCCTGTATACGGCAGCCGGCAACCTGGTAGATGAATGGGTAACACTCGAAGACATTGAGAGTAACCAGGCTATGAAGAATATTTTTAAACGGCTCCAAGAATTCGCCACAATCTGTTCAGACAAAGTGATGGAAAGGTTTGCAGCCCGATCTGATGTGTGGAAGAACGCTCACATCTTTCACCAAAAGTATGAATACAACCAAAATTCGTTTCAAAATGCACTTTGGGAAATTGGCAGTGACCTCAATATTGAACAGGAGGAACTCATCAAGGAAATGCGCTCTGCGTTTGCAATCCGGGATGTTGTTTTGGCTAGAGAAAAGGTCGATTCCGCCGAGTCTGTTTTGCAAGGTGTTCAAGAAAGGGCTGATCTGCCTGAAGCTGAACGTCTCATATCATCTTTCCTGTTGTCCCCCTCCCAAGCTGCAACATGCGAATGGGGATTTAGCACTGTGGTCCGTCTCAAAGAACGGCTCCACGATTGCTCCCCGTTGGTTCTAGAGCAATACCTCCAGGTGGGGATTTTGGAAAGCCTCTGCAAGAAATGATGTCCTGTGGAACAATCAAGACAATATCGAAACAATTTATGAAGCTGAAAAACTGCCGTGCAGAACATGTGTCTCAGGGGAATTTTTATATGCGAGGGCGTTTCATGGTGCCACGGAAAGAAAGCAGCGACCAGATTCCGGAAAAAGACGTGGAGAGTACAAGTTCAAGAAAAAACACGCTGGACTGCGAGCACAGGCTTCCGCCCGTGCCCTGCAACGTGGCGAGGGAGAGGAAGTCGCTATGGCCGAGCCTGTGGAAGAAGTCCCAGAACATAACATTTGGCGGCAAATGTTTCTGCGCAAGCAGAAGAAAGACCAGCTTCAATCCATTGCAGACCAAAGCAAGTGAGAAAGCAGAAATTTGGCGACTGTCTCCAATTTTGTTCTTTGCCGTTAAGTAGTTGATCTGCCCCTAAATAAGGATAATAAAACTTCTGTACCCATGATCCCCTTTGCGGAAGTTTCAAGTACGGAACCGAAAAACCGCCAACCCCAACAAACGGAGCGCACGACGCACAACAGCACAGCATATTGGTAACACAAAGCTGTGGCCGAGCAACGCTGGAAACGCAAAACCACCAGGGCGCTCGAAATTGCTAATCATGGCCTCCCGGCCGGGGGGAAAAGGAAGACGTTGAGGGTGCTGGTTGGCTGCTGCTGCGGCCGTTGCTGCTGGGCTGCTGGGTGCTCTGCTGGCTTCTTGGCTCTCCGCTGGTTCCTGGGCTTGGTGGCTGGGCTGCTGCTTGCGCGGGCAAACCTGCTGAGAGCAGCGGTGAAAAAAAAACTAGTGCCACTTGGGGACGCGTTCTGCAAGTGTTCTAGTGACTTGCATAAGAACACCGGATTACGCACTGCAACGGATTAGTGCAAGACCCAGTATTAGGAGGATTACGGACAAGTTTTGTATCCTCCGAATATCAAAAGTCCCCAGCTTTATTTTTGGACGCTTGCAAACAGCGTTTTCTCTCCCGGCGGTCCGTAGAGCAAAGTAGGTAAGGGAAGTCGGCAAAACAGATCTGTAACTTTCGGAACAGGACTGGCTCCGAGGGTTGGGTGGAGGGGTCCTTGTCTTGATGTTTGGAGCTGAGCAGAAGCTACTTGATGCCTCTGGTGGAGAAGGCTGCCAGGTCCTGATTTTTGATTTGAATTCTAAGACAGTGATTCCCTTAATGGATGATTGTACATTTTTTGGGGCTTAGGGAGACCTAGTAACACCAGAAAAATAGCTATTTGTACCCCAGCAAAGCTGCTAGGTCCTTATTCCTATTTTGTAAAACTAGAAATTTTAAGCCCATGACTCCCTCAATGGATGGTTGTAGATTTTTTCTGACTTAGGGAGACCTAGTAACACCAGAAAAATAGCTATTTGTACCCCAGCAAAGCTGCTAGGTCCTTATTCCTATTTTGTAAAACTAGGAATTCTAAGCCTATGACTCCTTCAATGGATGGTTGTAGATTTTTTGGTGCTTAGGGAGACTTAATAACATCATAAAAATAGCTATTTGTACCCCAGCAAGGCTGCTAGGTCCTTATTCCTATTTCGTAAAGCTAGGAATTCTAAGCCCATGACTCCCTCAATGGATGGTTGTAGATTTTTTTGGCCTTAGGCAAACCTAATAACATTATAAGAGTAGCTATTTGTACCCCAGCAAGGCTGCTAGGTCCTTATTCCTATTTCGTAAAACGAGGAATTCTAAGCCCACAACTCCCTCAACGGATGGTTGTAGATTTTTTTGGCCTTAGGGAGGCCTAGTAACACCAGAAAAATAGCTATTTGTACCCCAGCAAGGCTGCTAGGTCCTTATTCCTATTTTGTAAAACTAGGAATTCTAAGCCCACGTCTCCCTCAATGGATGGTTGTAATTTTTTTTTGCCTTAGGGAGGCCTAGCAACACCAGAAAAATAGCTATTTGTACCCGAGCAAAGCTGCTAGGTCCTTATTCCTATTTTGTAAAACTAGGAATTCTAACCCCATGACTCCCTCAATGGATGGTTGTGGATTTTTTTGGCCTTAGGCAAACCTAATAACATTATAAAAGTAGCTTTTTGTACCCCAGCAAGGCTGCTAGGTCCTTATTCCTATTTCGTAAAACTAGGAATTCTAAGCCCATGACTCCCTCAATGGATGGTTGTAGATTTTTTTGGCCTTAGGCAAACCTAATAACATTATAAGAGTAGCTATTTGTACCCCAGCAAGGCTGCTAGGTCCTTATTCCTATTTCGTAAAACGAGGAATTCTAAGCCCACAACTCCCTCAACGGATGGTTGTAGATTTTTTTGGCCTTAGGGAGGCCTAGTAACACCAGAAAAATAGCTATTTGTACCCCAGCAAAGCTGCTAGGTCCTTATTCCTATTTTGTAAAACTAGGAATTCTAAGCCCATGACTCCCTCAATGGATGGTTGTAGATTTTTTTGGCCGTAGGCAAACCTAATAACATTATAAGAGTAGCTATTTGTACCCCAGCAAGGCTGCTAGGTCCATTTTCCTAATGTGAGAAAATAGGCTTTCTATAGCGATGATCCTGATCATGCATTCAAGGTCCAGATTTTCAACTTCCAAAGCCAATCGATGTTGCGCCTGCTTGCCAGGTGCGGCATTGACGCTTCTTCGGGCCGCAACGCACACAACGTTGCGTTTATTATACAGAACGGATGCAGCAAATTAAGAAATCAAAGCAGGTCCTGTTGTCGTATTAGGCCGACGTAAAATATTTTTTTACTTCAGACGACGTCACTATTTCACCGGTAAAATTATTCGAATTAAGCGACGACCTGCGAAATATTATAAATTGTGCAGATACATACATACATACATACATACATACATACATACATACATACATACATACATACATACATACATACATATAAATGCAAAACAATACATTACATTACAGTACAATACAGTACAGTACAGTACATTACAGTACATTATATTTCATTACATTTCATTACATACATACATCACATTGGCCACCCATAAGAAGCAAGATTGGCCACCCATCACCAACATCCCAAACACCCCACCACCACAGGCCACAGGGGGGGGTAAACAATAAGAAGCAAGACTGAACACCCATCCTTGGGGGGAGGGGGGGCTGGCCGACGCTGGACCATATATACATATACATACACACACATATATATATATATTTACATATGTACATACACATAGATATACTGATGACAATCAACATGATATACATATGGCACTTTCCTAAAATGGTGGATTCCCAGTCATCACCATGGTTGTTTCACCCAAGGCACAAGAGCGGCCGATGCTGCCGCAAGCGCTGGGCGTCGTTCCCTCGAAGAAGGCTATTTTGACCGTGCAGCAGAGCTGGCTGGCCGTGAAGGACGCCCCCTGCGGCGCCGTTTGACCAAGGGAAAATGTGGGATTTACCCTGGGATTTTCCCGAAATGGAGATTTCAATGGGGAAATCATGGGACGCCTATGGAAAAATGGGGGGATTTAGTGGATTTTTTGGTTTTCAATGACTTGGAAAGTTGGGGTAGAGTAACGACTTGATGTGGGAAACCCATGGTTTCCCTGGGAACATGCTCAACAAATCGTGGGTCTTCCACATCTATGCTATTTTACAGGAGAATAACTATGAAAAAAGAGAACCACAAGTTGGTGCATGTATCATACATCCATATTTCCAAAGTTCTTTTCGTTGATGATTAGTTCTGGGTTAAAACATCCTTGATCTATTGGGGTTTATGACAATCCCTGAGCCGGGAAATGCATTCTTAACCAAGCAGCGTACAGAAATGACGTTGCGGGTTTTGAACGCTGCTCACATGGGTTTGTCGAAGTTGTCCAAGAATGGGATATAGTCCCAAGTTATGGCATTATGAACGCGAACAATGATGATTCACCAAATATATGTAGAAAATCAGAGATTTTCCCGAAATTTGGACTTAAACGTGTGCCCAGAATTGACCTGGTGCAAGGGAGTTTGGGTGCTCTCAGGCGGTCGACTCCGGCCATTGGGTCAGTTTCTGTTTTACTACAGCCTTAAACATGTTCGCTGCAACCCTGACGTTGCGCCGCGTCTGACTTCAGGTGGCTATGAAGATAGAGTTGATGTTATTACCCCAATCAACAAATTGTTCATAAGGGGGCGGCGAATTTTGATCCCTCATGGAGATATAGTTGATGTTATTACACCAACCAACATATTGTTCAGAGGGGGTGGCGGGTCTTGACCCCTCATGAAGATAAAGTTGATGTTATTATCCCAGTCAACCTATTGATGATGGTCATGATGTGATGATGATGTGATGATGATGATGGTGATGATGATGATGGTGATGATGAAGATGATCATGATCATGATCATGATCATGGCGATTGTGAGTGTGGAGCAACGTCCGGGTTGGGGCGAACATGTTTTGATTGGGGAACGTACAACTAAAATACGTACGTTTTGTCCTTTAACCCGGAAATGGCTAAAGCGGCTAACGCTACCTCATGCTAGGTGTACCAGTTTTCGGCTTGATGCAGTGTTGCAGCCAATCTGCTGCGTTTTCACTTTTCATCCAGTTTGGATAAAACTTGGGTGTGTCTGAAAATAGGGCCGCCAAAATGGCAATTTTGGAGGGAAAGGAGGTTCTAAACCACAACTTGGTGACTCACCCCAGCTAGCAAGTGGGTTATAACTCCACTTATAACTTGGGTAAACCCCACTTAGCCTACTGTACTTAAAACTGGAGCGAACCAATCCACAAATTCCAGGGTTTTTCTCCCCAGTGGATCATCTGATTCTAAGGTCACAGGCATCCTGTGAAAAAAATAGCCCTATCCCACCCCCTTGAAGCGAGCCATCTTGGCAGGAGCTTGGCATTGCCAACGTGGGTCTCATGGTACCAATAGTACCAATAGCCAACAGAGCCAAGCCCTCAAAATGATGATGATCCCTCAGAAGTGGAGATTTGATGTGATTTTAAGCATCAAGAATGGGGATTCAGCAATGAATCGTAGATTGTACCCTGA